GCTGTTAACAACACTAATTGTTTGCTCTCAAAAAATCTGTATTACTATTACACTCATAAGAACCCCCTTGGGAAGACAGAAGTGTATACGTGTGTGTGTGTGTGTGATTGGTATTTTCAATTATTAGAAATTCTTACAGGTTATTGCTGTAGGTTATTAGAGAATAATCATTGAAAGCCTAAAGAGAAAGGTGTTTGGGGGTAGTACAGAGTTGGGGATCTCTATTATTCACTGTCTATCTCTGCTGCCCCTGTAAACCAATAAAGCCAATAGAGTTGTTTCATGATATATTGAAAGAGTGGGTATGAGGTGCAGATGATAGAAATAGAATAAGCTGAAAATTTCCTTTAAATTATTCTTTCAAGATTTTGGTTGATTATAGGTTACATCTTAGAGCAAGTGGTATTTTGATAAGTGGTATTCTGTTTGAAATTATGTAATTAAAAGTTATTTTAATCCAGAAATAAAATACAGAAAATAGCAACAATCTGATGTTTCTTATAATATCCTTTATAAATATTACTAAAAGTCTTTTTAATAAAAAATAATAAATTATTTTAAATAATACACACCTCAGCAATAACAGAGACCAAAGCCCATATAATTAGGACTTCATTGTGTAAACAAAACTAAAGGTGAGAAAATTACATTTATTTACCAAGGAAAGAGATAACAATAAATTTCGGTAACTAGACAGGTATTAAAATGTATACCAAAAATTTCCATAAAAATAGATACTATGAATATTTGTTCTTGTTTTTCTTTATGGTGTATAAATGAATAATCAATTCTACTGAATATAATGTATACATAATTATTATTGGATTTGTACCCAAAACAACAACATAAATATATGCTTGTGACAGAATCTGTTTGGAAATAAGAGCAAAACTGTTAAGAATAGCAATGTTCTTTTATTGGTTCGGACAGGTTTGAAAGCTCATCTTTTTAGAATGGGATCAATATGAAAATATATCTCAGCATGTTTTCAAAAATTTGTATTCATAGGTGAGTCATAGAAAAAACTAAATCTTCATTGTCAGTAAAATAAATTACAAATGGAGAAGCTAAACCCTACCTCCGTAATCATTTTGGTAAATAGTATTGTATTATTTATATATAGTGTATTTGTATATATATAGTACTGTATATATATAGTACTGTAATGAAGAAACCAGAAGAAGCTGGTATATAATAAAAATAATTCTTTATGTTATCTTTTACATAAGCTTTGGGAATGTTACAGAAATTGGTAAATAGATTGCAAGGAGGGGAAAGAGGGAATAAGAAGGAACAGATTCTTTTGAAAGAAGTAACTTCAATAAGATCTTGAGAGAGAAGATGGAAAAGAAAGAACACACTCTTATTGAATAAAAGACATTTATACAAAAGATGAAAATGTTTTTCAATCCAGAATGGGTTCTTTAAGTTAATAAAGTTTCAGATTTTTTTTACAAACTACATTGATTTCATTTCCAACTTCTTATTTCTGTATTTTCTCCTTTCCCATACTTGCTAAGTCTCAAAATTTTTCTCATGATGCTTTCTCTATCTCGCAGCACACAGAAAAAAGACAAAAGCTGACTTCAAGGACAAATAATGTTTGCGCTATTTCAAATTAGATACAGCCTTATCAATTTCCTCAATTCTATTATGTCTTGAGAAGAGACATTGCCTCATTAAATCAAGAATTCATTGTTTACATTAAAATCTATTATTTGATGTATTTAATAATGCATGCCTTTTATAATCTTATTTATATTAAATCTATATTGTTTAAAGATCTGTTACTTATTGTTTTGAAATAAAAATACAAGAAAAGTGAGCATAAATACATATTATATGTGTGTGTATTCATTCCAGAAGAAATGTAAGTGTAAATAAAGAGTAGATAAATACATCCATACATATATACATGCATATTCCAAAACAAACTATCTTCCCTAACTTACCCCTGCAGAATTGTATGTGCCAATAGAATCTAAATTATACGAACACAATGTACTTGATATGTTACTGAAATGCCAGGAGATTAATCTAGATACTTTTGCTCACCACAAAGAAAGCCAGTCACTGAGACAGTGAGTATCATCAAAGAAAAAGGCTATGTTTTGATGCTGCAGCTGATAAGATGGGAGGTAAATCTTAAATCTGTCTCCCCAGCTGACTAAAACTGGGGCCTTTTCTAGTGGAGAAGAAATGTAGCTACCTGGGGGAAAACAGGAATTGGAGAGGAGTAAGGAAGAAGAGTTTGCCAACAGGAAGCACGTGGTCAGTTCGGAAAATAGGAATTAGGGAGGGTAAGGAAAAGTAGTTTCAGTTCCTGGATACTATCTAGGAGGCTTGAAGGTCAGTTTCCTGAGAAAAGAGCTCAGATAAGACAAATGTAAGTTTCAAGCTTGAAGACCAGGAGGGTCAATTTCTGTTTATTTAAAAAAAAAAAAAAAACAAACCTGTGGTACAATTGGTCTGGTTTTGTTTCTCTACCTCAGATACAAATCAGAGGTAGAGATAAATACTTTATTATGCATTATATTGCATTTAGAGCTAGTACCTATGTTAAGGTTTGAAAGTGGATTTGGTCTCCTTTTGCTCAGTGATCATTCAACCAAGAAACATGCTGGCAAGTTTCAAAAACAAGAACTAAAATGGAAAAAGTATTCTGAGAAAAGAACAGAGTGGTGCCTAAAAACTGTGAGTTTAAATCTCAGAGTCTTCACTGTGGATATTTGTGGAATATTAGCATTTATTTGTCAAGTATCTACTTCATAGCACTGCCTTTGATTTATTGATTTAATGATTTGTGATTTATTTTATGTGGCACACACTCTTTATAAAAAGGGAGTCTCAAGTTGGAGCCCAGGCATTTTTCTGTCTTGGATGAAGTTATTTCAACATTTCATTTCCTGAGAGGAAAAACTGATTGATCTAAAGGTACCCTAGTTGACAGGGACTATCTTGAAGACAAGCACCACTTTTATAATGTAAGAAAACCTGTTCTGTTTTTGTGTTGTAACTGATACACTAACGCATTTAATTTCCATCTTGAAGGCCACCCAGGGTCCATGCTCAGATCTGAGTATTTGAAAACTGCTATCATGGATTCTGCTGAAGATAATGCAGCTAAGGCTAGTTAAGTTAGAAATAAATCATACACCTTTGTAAAAAGGCGAAATATACCAGTGATTTTGTTGGTAGTCAATTTTGTAATTACCTCCAAAGGGAATTATGCAAACCACAAAAGGAAACATGTGTAAACTCAATAATCAGATGTATTGTATTCATAGGCTACAGTGTGGATTAATCAGAGCTATATATTGTTGTATTCCATGAATTATTCTGAACAAATTTCAGGATGAGTCAATATTGAGATAGCTCTAGCATATTAAAATGTATGATTTTAAAACAATATAGTGAGTGGAATTTTATTTTTATTAGTTAATTATTAAAGTTTCCTAGAGAACTGTGAGAGAAGGAAGGAAAAAAAATTGGGGAAAAAGCATATGGAAGAAATTAGAAGAAGCCAGATACTCAAACAAAAAAATTACTATATATGGGCTTACTTCTGTAGGAGGCTATCAATTAGGAAGGAAAACTTTTATGTTTTTATATCTTCAATAATTCAGCATTTATAGAAAATTTAATCAAGGACCTGACCTTGAAAATTCCTTTAAGTGTATATGATTAAAATACTCGTTCTTATCAATGCTCAAATGTTTAAAGAAAGAAAGGATGTCTCTTATGATAAACAAATTAATCCCTTTTTTACATAGATAAGACAGAATTTCCCTGCAAATGCTTCTTTTTGTTGTTGTTCTAAGGTAACTCTCAAATGAACAATCTTCTAGCTGTCAAAACTTTTTTGAATAGCTGCTGCAATTAATTTGAAATTGTCAAGTCAATGTTAGACCATTTAAAAAGATAAATATAATAACAACAACAACAAGAATCAAAGAACCCAGCATTCTTCCAGAGAAAGCACAAGCTTGTTAATGGACAAACCAAAGCAATATTACCAACATGCTTATTTTGGGTTAGATAGCAGTCCCTTAGCCAGCAAATATGTGGCCAGGAGATTGATCTCAAAGCAAATTTCACAGATCCAAAACTGAAGAAATTCCTATTAAATTTTGAAAAGCAAAGCAAAGGATGCAGCTGTGACAGAACCTCTGAACTCATTTGGGTTTGGTACTGGCTTAGAATACAGGCTCATAAAACCCATATATATGTTCTACTCTGTATAAACCTGTCCTTATATACAGACACTTGTTCAGATAATAACTAGACAAACAGAAAGACTGGGAGCATATTCATGCTTTGTCAAACTAAAACTGTCCCAATTGTCCCATAGAATTGATGTTTCTGGTTTTTTTTGAATAAACATAGAAGTTGACCCTCCCAGTCTTAAAACTTGAGAAAGTTACATCTGTCTTATCTGAGTTCCTTTCTCTGGAAACAAAGCATCAGGCCTCCCAGACAGCATAAAGGAGCTGAAACTTACCAAGTCACCACATCTGGACAATACCACAACCCTCATTTATCATGACTGCTTAACCAAACACCTCCTTCCTGTTGACCAATTCTTTCTTACCCCTCCCTAATTCCTATTTTCCCACACAGGTTACATTTCTTTCTTGCTATATAAACCCCTAATTTTAGTCAGTTGAGGAGATGGAGTTGAGACTAATTGCCCTTCTCCTGGGCTATAGCACCTGAATAAAGCCTCTATCCCTAGCAATATTCACTGTCCCAGTGATCAGCTTTCTTTGTGTCAAGGAATGGGACCTAGGTTAAAGCCCTAGAATTTCAGTAACAAAATTGTCATTAAAAAATAAGCATAAATTCGAAAGCATAACCAAAAATTCCTTGAAGATTTTATTCTTATTGTAGCTGGGGGGAGGGAGTGGGGCATCCTGAAGATACTTTCAGTTCCCCCATCCGATGTGCCCAGATCCTGGTTCAGCTCCCCCATTCGATGTGCCCAGAGCCTAGACAACCACTGATTATCTAGCAGTTCCTTAGCTGTGATTCTGTGAGCAGGATTTACTTTCATAAGTTGTTTCAAAACACTTTTAGCACAGTCACTTATGGAATTCCAGACTGGATTTTCAAATGTAGTTCTCCTTTTCTTATTAACTCAAAAAGACTCTCTTCTGAGCTTGCCAAAAAGGGTGGTTCTCCACATAATAACATGTACATTATGATGCCTATGCTCCAAATGTCATACTGCTGGCTATAGTCATGGGCATTGATAACTTCAGCGGCCATATAGACGGGAGACCCACATGTGGCCTGCAGCATGGCTTCACTCCTACTTTGCTTCTTCACCGCTAAACCAAAATCAATTGCCTTTATGTTTGAGTTTATTTCATTGTTATAATCAATAAGGTTGATTTTAACCAATATGTTTTCCAGTTTCAAATCTCTATGTACAATATCATTATTGTGAAGATAGGCTATAGCTGATTCGAGACCTCTCTTACCCCAAGAATGGGGAAGGGGTCCTGGAGGCCTGGTGAGCTTACCCTTTGAGTAAACATTGTGAACCTAAAGAGTTTAGCAAAGAAACAATTTATTAGGCAGATAGAAAGAAAGAGAGAGAGAGAGAGAGAGAGGCAGCTCCCATGCTGCTGTGGGAGGGGATTCAAGGGAGGAATCTGTATAGGTGAGGAGCAGTGGGTTTTAACCTTGGAGTATTTCTGCCCCATTCATGTTCTTGTCCAATGAGAAGAGTTCTTTCAAACTTCCTCAGGAGTGATTGATCTTTGTCTTTTGATACCGGATTGGCTGCTAGGTCTGCAATGGAGGCCCCTCCTCCCAGAGCTTTTCTCTGGCTTTTGGAACAAAGAGGTCCACCTGGAATTTTCTACCTAGCCTGCCTACCAGGATAGTCAGACAAAGAACTCTAGATTCCCAGATGGGGGCGTGCATGGAGGTGTGGCATTAGGAAGCTCCTGCTTTGAAAACACGCCCCTTGTGGACCTGAGAAGAGGCTTTTTTTCCTTAACACAGTTCCTCATTATGACAAAAAAAATAAGACTAATACCAAAGGACTCAAGAAAATATTCCGAGTTCAGATTCAGTGCATGAATTGCCTCCCTATTGTAAGCAAGATGGCCTTGAGCAAGTAGAGACTCAGTGGATCTCACTCTGCAACCAAGTCCTAGTCTATGTCAGCAAGAATATCAATCAAGTCATAATGAAATTCCCACTAATAAACACCAACCTGGCAGATCTATCAGGAGCGTACTTGTATTCAAACAGAGTTACATTTATAAGCTTAATGCAGCAAAGAAGAATGCCCGTTAGAGCAACCATGGTATATTTCAGAAGGACTGAGTGGGAAGATGCACTTACAGAATTTGGACTTGTGGTGAGCGATTCCAATGAAGGATCAGGGAAGCAAAGTCCATTTTGTTAGAGACATACAAAAGTAATTTTTTGCAGTTTTTTTTTTTAATTGCAAAATTGCGATTACTTTTGCACCAACCTAATACATTTGATGTTGTTCCAAAAGGTCAGTTCAGTAGTTGAATATTTCAGTAATCCTAGTTCAAGATGTAGAAAGGAAGATGATTAGGACTGGGGATACTACCTGTAGGACATCAACACTCTTCTCCAAGAATGATTTATTTGTTATTTTCAAATTTGGTGTGGGTTTTGCTATGTTCTATCCAATACATTATTTTCTGTTGCCCTGTTTATTTCTCTTGAAAACTCTGTTAATGCTCTTTAAGAACATCTCATTTTGATTTTCAGGAGAGCTAAATTTCAGTCTCAGGCCAAACCATTTCTGCAACAAAGGTGGCAATGACTGTAAATTTGAAAAATACAAACATGACCTGATGGCTCTCTTTCTCTCTCAGCTTTAGAAAGGGTTTTTTGGGGTATTAAATGCATTTTTGATTTACAATATTTTTTATTTATAATGGCTTCATTGTAAGTAATATCACTATAACTCAAGAAGTATCTGTATATTGAGAAGTTTGATTCTCCTAAATGACAAAGATTAAAGTTATTCATTTGCCACCTATGATATTTGAATGAATTGTGGCAATTCAAAAATGTACAACTGACCATTCCACTTAGCAAATTCTGTAGCGTTTCCTGATTTTCTTCCCAACTTGTAAAGCTTTTTCTACTACTCTTCAAACCAAGCAATAAAGCCACCATGACGTAAAAGTAGGCCCAATTTTTTTTCTATAATACAGTGAATATTTTTTTAAAATTCATTAAAAGCATTTTTAGCAACCATATCTCTATCATGAGTCTATAAAATTATTTCCTTCAGAAAACTGACATCTCATCCACGTTTCAGTGATTGTTAAAACCTTTCAGGGTGTTGGAGATATTTTTATTTTCCATTTTAAAACACTTGAGTTTTAAGCTTCCTCTGACCTGTTTATAAATAACGAAAACTAGGGCCCTGCAGTCTGCTCTCTTTTTTCTTTACCAACATTTAATGGAAAGGGGGAGGGAAAGGAGAATGCATGCTGTTAGCTATTATCTTTACAAATGACTTGTTAGCCTTTTATTTGTCTGCTCATGCTTCAAACACTCAAAGGACATTTTCAGAATCTCAGTAGATGAAGGTTCAATCTTGAAATGACGTGACAGGCTGTATCTTCCTTAAAAGATTTTGACGTGATATTAAGCCATAGTTACAAGCCAATACTTGAATGGGAAGCCCTGGGGAAATCTGTTAGAGCTGGAACACAGCATTTACAGCAGGAGGCAGGTGTCTGCACCAGTGAAGCAAACAACGATATGATATATTTAGTATCGAAAATGGAAGCAAAACTACTGATTCTTTACACTGGGGACAATGGAAGAAGTCGAATGAGGTGAAAAAATCATCTTTTGGGGCCCTAGAAAATGTTAATTTACTGACAGTATGAAATATACTCTCATCACGGCAGGTGCACTCAGAACCAGGTGCTGCTCTCAATATTGTCTTTGAATTTATGTGTTTCCTTTTCAGTGGTAGGATGTGAAGCAGCTGTACTGGCCATGTGGAGAGAAAGCAAAGAGCTTTTAATTAGCAATTAGGGGGCTGTTAATTTCTTTGGGGATCTCTCTTTCTCTCTCTCTTTCTCTTCTCTTTGTACTTTCACTAGATTCTTAGGAGTTTCTATATATCTCCGAAAACACAAAGAAAATCAGGGAACAACATATTATGGAGGTTCAGGGCATGGATTTTGTGCTGTTGATGAGTACATCCAGAAGCCTAAATAAATTTTTTTTGAAACTAAATTCACATTTAAGTTATATTTACTACCTTGAATATTCTTTTACTGATAATATTGTGTCATTAAATTAAGAAATAAAATGTATTCATTGACATTGGGACTTTTTTCTCATGATGCAATTTTAGCATATACTTCTTTGTGCTTTTCATGTAAATGATCTACACACATCAGTTCTCAATTAGTAGTCATTAATCATTATACCTAAGTGACAGTAACATATGCAACTATAAGTATATTTATGTCACTATATATAGTACAACTATGTGTGTGTGTGTGTGTGTATATATATATATATATACATATATAATCTAAAAATATATTTTATAGATGTGGGGAAATAAAATTGATAACTGCCATCTGAAAATTAGGCAGATTTTTCATTTTCCTCTAACCATTACTATTTATCTTCGCAACTTTCATTTTTAGAATTTTATGATTGTTAAGAACTTTTAATATATATTCTAATATTGTTAATGCTTTAAATTTTATTTGTATATTTAAAGCATAAAACTCCTCTTTATTTTGATGTTTTTCTCAGATCAGCTTCCTCTTTCTTTCAGTAAGTAGACAATCCAAATTCATACTACAAAATAGCAATCAACAAAAACATTGTATGTCTCCCTGGTAAATAAATTGTTTTAAATGAGTTTGTGTGATGGTTTGGTCATGTTTTAACAATGTTTAAAGTGTTCTTTTACCTTTCTTTCAAAGGCTAGCTTGTTAATATTATAATTAGTATGTGGAAAATAACAAGTGATGTTAAGCTCTGTTGTGTTGGGAGACCTGACTTGATCTGGATCTTAAAATTGTATACCTTCAAAACAGGCAGACAAGAAGGGACAAATTGCTATTAGAGAAGAAACCAGCCCAGGCAAAGCTAGAAACAGAAATAGGAAAGATATATCATGGGGTAGTCCGAAGTCTGGCCTTGCTGAAAAGTAAGTATGAATGTTAGAAATTACTTTGAGGTGCATTTAGCTAACAGGACTTGACAGTAATTAAAGATCTGGAAAATTAGTTATCTGAGCTTGCACTTGCTATGGTAAAAACTAAATAAAATTCTTATAGGAACCGTGAAATAAGTGGTAAAATATAGCAAAGGCTTTAAAACTAAACAAACTTAAGTTTTAAGTCTTGGTAAATCCCCTACAGTTAGTAGTTATATTTTGTGATTTGAAAATGAGGACAATCATACCTCTATCACATATATAATAAGCTGTATCTGATAAATTAATCAGAAACTATTTTTCTCCCACTACTGTATTTGATACAGTGTTAATATCAATAATCTTTAATAATCTTTGACCCTTCATGACCTCTCAAGCAAATCTTAAAGGTTCTTAGTAACTTACAGCTATTAGATTAGAATAGATTCTTTTTATTTTATTTTAATTGTTAAGACAGAGTCTTCCTCTATTGCCTAGGCTGAAAGGCATTGGTGTGATCTCGGCTCACTGAAACCTCCACTTCCCAGGTTCAAGTGATTCTCTTGCTTCAGCCTCTGGAGTCCCTAGGATTGCAGATGTCTGCCACCATATCTAGCTAATTTTTTTTATCTGGGTACAGATGGGGTTTCACCAAGTTGGCCAGGCTGGTCTCCAACTCTTGGCCTCAAGTGATCCACCTGCCTTGGCCTCCCAAAGTAGTATAGACTTATTTCAGAACAGACTACGTAAAAACTTAAAACTCAGGTCCACTTCGAGTCTCCTTTCATTCTTTCAGTAGAGGCCTGAGCAGTGTCCTAGAGACTAGCAGTTGCAGAGGTGGAGGTGGGTAGTTGCAGAAATGTGGTGTGTTCTTTCAATTTTTTTATTCTCTTTCTCTCTCTCTCTTTCTCTCTCTCTCTCTCCCCCATAGTGGACATTTGTGGTTACTCCAGGGTTAAAGAAGAGAGAAGGGGGATGAGTAAGAGTGCAATTTTCCTTTTACTGGTCTGATGTGATAGATGATCACAACTTCAGTTTCATCACCTTCCTCTGTCTATCTTTCCCCAGGAAAATAAAATGTACCTTTGACATTACTTAAAACCTGATCACAGTATTGTGCTTTATCCTCTGTTTTGAGGCTCTAGTAAAATTTTGAAGCAACAAGAAAAGTTCCCCAGTATATTCTGATACATATATAAAACATTTATGAACCTTTTACTCAATGAACTACAAAAGTCTTTATTCTGCTGTATGTAGAATTAACCTCAAATTCTAATGAGGCAGCAACATTTTTTTTGACTGTTCATACCAATAATGGATGAAAACAATCAAAATTCACTTTATACTCATATGTTGTCATTCCTTTTGTATCATAAAGTATGGTGAAGTTAACTAAAACATATAGAGACAAATCTCTGAAACATTTTATTTGAGAAGAAAGAATTGCAATTTGGGCACAAAGAACAAAGAGAAGGTTAGAAGTTTTATACAAAAAAGAAATATGCATTGCTCTTTGAGAAAGTTAATTAGCAGAGTACAGTTGTGAGGAGCTGGTAAGTTTTGATTTATAAATGAGGGTAATAAGTAAAACTATTACAGTTACAGTAGATCCATTAGATTCAACTGGTTTTAGGTTATAGCAGACAGCTCTAACAACCAGGCTCACCCAAAATTACATTCTTAGAGCAATGCTATGTGCTCAGCACTTTATTCCTTCTAGCATCTTGACTGTGTTTTAGTTGGGTGGGTCAAGAATAAACCAACTCACATGATCCACTTTCAGAAGTACAGCAGAATGCAAATGTATAGTGATATATTTATTTTTAAAATTTTTAAAGAAAATTAATAAAACTGAAATAAATGTGTTATTGGATTTCGCAAATATGTTATTCCAGATTTGGAATTCATTATCCTGCTATATTGTCTTTTTTAAAAAAAGATATTTTTTTCATTATGAGGAATGCAAAATCTTATCCCTTTCTATTATTGTATTATTTTATTTATATAGCATAATATTTATGGGGATAATTTTCTAAATAACATTTAAATATAGCACAATTTAAATATTTTAAATATTTTATTTAAATATAACAATAATTTTTATATATTTCATGAACTTGTTTCTTTTTGGAGCAAAAAGAGACTATAAACAACATATAGTCCAACTGTATGTTTTTAACAGAGAAAGAATTTGAGGTATAGAGAGAAAATGTCAATATCTAGGCTCTCGTATGTTATAAATAGTAAATGTGAAATCAGAAATAAAACCTACAATTCTGGTACTCTAATAGTTCTGCTAAGCCATGAGGCTCCCAAAGTAAGTGCTTCTCCAGGAAGTCTTATGGTTTCCTTTAATAAATTAACTTTTGTGACAGTATGCTGTGTCCCTATATGACTGTTGGTAGCTATTAAAATAAACGTCATTAGCTAAATTATTAATTCAAAAACTTTTAACAAACACCTGATTTTCTAAAGTAGAACAAAAAGCTTCAACTTTTTTCTAACACAACATCCAATATTTGCCATGGAGTGTTTTCCTATTTTCAATGAATTTTTGACTAAGTTATTATAGAAAACACAATAGAAGCATGAAGAGATCAACTGGTATTTAATTAACTAGAATTCCTAGGTAAAATGTAATGATGTTTTGCTATTTGTCAGCATGAATGAATTTAGAAAATCAACATTAATATTTTAACAGACACATTTTATCAAACATAATAGCTAACTTTGAAAAACCTGCAGTTTCAGAACAAAACTGAGTTGATTCATTTTAGAGCAGGCTCCAACTTTTTGTTTTCAAAGCAGCAGTGATTTATGAGTAATTTGCTCCTATGGGTAAATATTAATTATGTCAGAGAAAACGAAATGTTTCAAAATTTTATAAACAGTATCCAAGTTTGCCATTATCATACAAATACATGAAACATTTATTGCAAGAAAAATAGTAAAATATACATCAAAACAGAAAAACTTAAAAAATTTATCAGTAGGATGCAGTGGCTCACGCCTGTAATCCAAGGACTTTGAGGGGCCGAGGTGGGCACATCATGAGGTCAGGAGATTGAGACTATCTGGCTAACATGTGAAACCCCATCTCTACTAAAAATACAAAAAGTTAGCCAGACATGGTGGCATGCGCCTGTAGTCCCAGCTACTGGGGAGGCTGAGGCAGGAGAATTGCTTGAACCTGGGAGGCAGAGGTTGCAGGGAGCTGAGATTGCTCTACTGCACTCCAGCCTGGGGAACAGAGAAAGACTCCATTTAAAAAACAACAAAAAAAAAATTAAACTATCACCGTTTGCATATACATTTATAACTATATGTTACACCCACTATTTATAGAAATTTGTATTTTAGAAAGATCTTTCATAAGAATACCTTATTTGACCACTGCAATAACCAGAAGATTTAGGCATGGTGGACAACTTTTTTTCTAATTTTATACACAGAGTAAATCTCTGCTAATAAAATAACTTACTTTTTTTCATTGTGGTAATAAGGGTTTGTGAGATGGATTCTCGCTCTGTCACCTAGGCTGGAGTGCAATGGTGCAAACTTGGCTCACTGCAACCTCCGCCTCCTGAGTTCAAGCGATTCTCCTGCCTCTTAAACTACATACAATTTGCCAACATTTTAGTGTTGTATTTGACCGAATGTAGAAAGTTATCACAAGACAAAAGTATGCCAGATTTGCAGGGTCATTTTTATTATGCCGGCGACCACAGAGGACTCACGTCTCTCCAACCTGTGGTGGCAACAGGAGGGTGCCACGATTTTTTATACCCGAAAAACCACCTTGGGAGTGGGGGTGAGGGGCAGGGATGGGAATGAAAAGGCTTCAGACATTCCGAGGGCTAGTGGATTCTGTAAATTACCTCCTGGGCAGAGATGAGGGTGGGGGTCTCCGGACATTCCAAGGGCCAAGGGGACTTTTGTCATTCCTTTGTTACTTAAGTGGTTTACAGAAGTCAAGATAAACATTTGTTTACACATTATCTGGTTAAGGTGGAAATCACAGACCTTAGTTACTTATTACAAGCCACAGGAGCCAAGATGGCATGGGTTAGGACTGCTTGCCTGTCATATTAGGGCCACAGAGAGCAGTTACTGATAAGAAAAGGTAAGCAGCTTTACATAGTTTTGAAGAACAAACTGCAGTTCTATTTACAGAGGCCAAGGACAGTAGTTATTGTAAGGAGAATGGGGCAGCCATTTCAACTTATCTAAAAACAGTTTTGCATTTTATAAAATAGTTTTGCTCCGGTTCTGGCTCTAGGCCAGCACAATATCACATTAGTAGGTACCGTTCACAACGGGAAAAGTGTTTTTAATACTAAAAAACCAAAAGTCACCTTACAGGTGAGGAAACTAAAGTTCAGATAGCATAAAATACTTCTGTTCTACAATATAATGTACTTCTAACATAAATTAAGTTTGAGCTTTAAACATTGCTATTCTTTCTTGCCCTTCAAAATACAACTTAATCATTACTTTTTATATGAAGGCTTTTCTCAATTTTATTTTTTCTCATTCTATTGTTTCAAGTTGGAATATTAATGACAATAGAGATACCTTTATTTTAAATGCTAATCATATTGTAGGCATTTGGAAAAGCACTTACATTCTATTAAGGCAATTAGCCCTAGTAATGTTACATTTGATTGCTTTGATGCCATGTTGATTAAAAGATTAAATCAATGGCTTGATTGCTAATTATTTGTTTTCTCAAATTTACATAAAATCTAGTACTTCTTTTTACATGAGTTGATGTTGGTTAACCATTCTTACAAACACAGAGATGGGAAAGTATATTAGAATCCCAAAGAATCCTTCTTTCAACCCGGTATAGAGACTCCATTGTTTGCCAGCTGGGCCAACATTTATGAATTGTGATTCAGAGGGAAAAGAAGGATCCAGGCCCTTTCTGAGTTGAAGCTGCAAGATGTGATGTGCCTGAACTCTCCTGTCATATGTTTCAAGTCATGCGGTGAAAGATAATTTAAGAGAACAGAAAGTAAAAAGAAGGAGAATAGTCAAAAATGGAAAAAAAAAATGCTGTCAGGAGTCAGGGTTTGGGACTGAGGTGTTTTGGGGTCTCAGTTGCTACATTTTCCTTCCTGTAGTTTACTTACATATGCCAATAAATTATTCTTACTGTCTTTTTACATGAGCCAACATACCTTCAGTTTCACACTGGCAAAAGAGTTTGAGGTAGGTTCTCACTCTGTCTCCCAAGCTGTAGTGCAGTGGCCTGATCATGGCTCACTGCAGTCTCCCTCTCCCAGGCTCAAGTGATTCTCCCACCTTAGTCTCCTGAGTAGCTGGACTAAAGGTGTGCACCACCATGCCTAGCTAACTTTTGTATTTTTTGTAGAGACTGGGTTTCGCCATGTTGCCCAGGCTGGTCTTGAACTCCTGAACTCAAGCAATCCGCCCACCTTGGCAGCCCAAAATGCTGGGATTACAGGTGTGAGTCATCACACCTGGCTGAGTTGTGCTTCTTTTTATTATTAAAAAGTGGAAAAAAGAGAGCTGATAAAGATGTCTCCAGATCCTACAAGATGAGAGTACTTTTCTATCTAATATTTTTTAATATTGTGTTTTATAATTAAAGTCTACAAATTTTACCATCTTGTCCCAGTAAACATTCTTTATGGTGCCATGTAACTCAATTCACTGATAGACAATAATTATTGATGTTGCTACCCACTATAGTTTTTTTTTTTAAATAATGAACACTAACATTTAAAAATAGAATTGTGTTTTTTATAATAAAAACCAACAGCTAGTCATCTTCCCCCATCATCAAGTTAATAATTTAATATTTGTGTCAATTTGCAAGGTATTTCACGAGTTACTTATTATTTTTTACTTAGTCATGTATAAGACACTTCAGTTGTCTTGAAATCAAGTACATTTCCTTGGGAACTTTGGGAAAAGGAGAGACAAATAGGAAGGATTCCGAGAATGTTGTATGAAATTGCTTTAATTAGATGGATATCTTATTCACTAGTACTAGAAGAAACAAAGAATGAATGTTTATTATTTACTCTTTATTTGGACTTGTAGAAAGTCGTTTTCTGTTGTTGTGTTTATTTTTGTCTGAAAAAGGTTCAAATACAATCGCTAGAGCTACATTTTAGAAGACTGCTATCAAAAGGAATCTGCAAGACAGTTCTCATTTCTTTTGAATTGATTCCATATTCAAATACGTTACTGTTCAATAAATATCCAATGCTCTTTCTCTATTCTCAAACACGCAATCTGGATATCTAAAAATATGCCTCATTCTGGTATATCAAATATGTGTAACTGGCCGGATGCAGCAGCTCATGCCTGTAATCTCAGCACTTTGGGAGGCCAAGGCAGGCAGGTCACCTGAGGTTGGGAGAACAGCCTGGCCAACATGGTGAAGTCCCTTCTCTACCAAAAGGTACAGAATTAGCCAGGCATGGGCAACTGTAAACCTAGATTTTTCAGGAGGCTGAGACAGGAGAATTGTTTGAACCCAGGAGGTGTAGGGGTTGCAATGAGCCAAGATGGCGCCACTGCATTCCAGCCTGGGAAAGAGTGAGTCCCCATCTCAAAAATTCCAATCAACCAACCAACCAAACAAAAAACAAACATGTGTATCTAATTACACCTCTTTGTAAATTTGAATAAGTATGAGAAAAAAATAGTGCCAGATATTTCTAATTGATTCAGTCTTCAGTGAAGCATCAATTCTAAGTCTATAAAGGGTAATGAAAAATTTGCTTTTTTTTTTGTAGTCTGCAC